CCCCAAAACCCCAAAACCCCAAAACCCCAAAACCCCACTTTGACTCTATTGTTTGAAATAAATTATGAGAGATATGGTTTAAATAGAGAGTAATTATTTATTGGGTGACCGGGATTATTGGTGTGGAGAAGAGTCCCAGGTTTAGAATAAGCTTTGTTCGGTGGGCTAGAGAGGTGAAGTATGGAGCGAAGGAGGTGAGGAAGGAATGGATGGGAAGGGAAAGGAAGGGAGAAGGAATTGTTATAAGTTGTTGAGGAGGGGTACGGAAATGAGGGGGTAATGAAAGGAGGGTGAACGAGTAATAGAAATGGATATTTTTGGGAAATAAGGAAAATTTCAAAGCTTTGGGATGAAGGGAATTTAGATTTTATGGAAGAAGGAGACTGAGTTAAGTATTAATAAATGTTAACATGCATAAAGAAGATCTGAATGCCAAGCATCATGATTATTATCATAGCAACTAAGCCCTTTATTTCTTGGCAGAAAGATAATCTTCTATCTTCAATACTCTGATAGTCATTATACTTTTTACTAGCCTCATGATTTGTCTCTGAATCTTCAGTGCTCTTGACAGTATCATCATCTTTAGTTTCTTCCTTCGATATTAAACAATGTGTCTTTGGTTCATTTTCCTTCAGATGATTGTCCACTTTCCCACAGATATCTTCAACTGATTCATTCCAAGCTAGATTATGATCTTCAGTCTTTTCCTCCATTACTCTAGGCTCATTTTCATTAGTTTCCTTGACTTCTTCCAGAAATTCTTCACTAATTGCGTCTTTTTCATCAAAATCGAGTTTTCTAGTGACAGATCCTGGCTGTCCATGAGGCCCTTCTTCGTGATCGGACTTGTCCATCTCCTTGATTTCTTCAACTCCCAATTGGGAGTTTTCTGAATCATTAGATTTCTCTTCTTGATGTCTTGACTCAATGATGCTGAGGCCAGATGAAAATCTTGAAAGGGTGACTTTACATCTCTCGATTTTGTGCTTTATGAATTTGACCAACTCTCTTTGGCTGATCCTTGTGATTTCCTCACTTAGCGGCTTCTCGATCACTTCTTGGTTGAGACCTTCCTGGAAGCATATCAAGCTTTGGGTTGACTCTTTGGCAGATCCATTCTCTGAATGATCTATTAAAGACATTTGATCACTAAATCCGTCTTCTACCAGACTCACTATAAACCCTTAACTCAAGTCTCTCTAACAAATATCTCTTTTAATGGATTCCAAAAGTGTTTATAATGTTCAAACTCCCAAACAAAAGCCCTCGGTTTACCCCTCCTTGTCCTTACTACGCATACTGCCCTTCTCCTGCAGCAGCTGCAGCCCCTCTCCCTTAAAGTCCAACTGCCGGTGCTAAGCACAGGCTTGGCTTAAAGCGGAGTAGGAGAGACTAACCTAGCCCTTGACTTTTACAGGAGGAATTATCAATTTTGTAAGGATAGGAGAAAGTGGTGATTGTGAAAAGAATGCATTGGAAGAGTGAAAAATAGGTTAATGCTGTTTATTTTACTTACAAGCAGATTCTATGTAGTCTTCTCTTTGGAAGTCATTATTGCAATTCATTCACTTGAGATTTCTTAATACTCTAAGGGCAAGGTGGTGCTTGCAGTACTTGATCTTGCAGGCCCCACACATTTCAGCTTTCTTTGGGACTCTTTGACAGAATGGGCACACATCACTGGCAGGGACATGTTGTGCTTTATTCTCCATACTTGAACTCCTAACTGGAGTTTTCTTTTCGGTCGAAAGTACTTCTATTTCAATCCTAAAAAAGTTATCATTATGCTTACTTTGTCTTCATTTTGTAATAAGTTTTTTCTATTAAATTTCAATTATTATTTTTTATTATGGGGTTTTGGGGTTTTGGGGTTTTGGGGTTTTGGGG